GAGGACTGAAGGGGAAACTGAATTAACAAGCTTAAATATACCCCCAGGGAGGAATGCACAGGAGCTTTTTTACCTATTGGTTCTGCTGGGTTGCTGACTCCTCCTGACATTAAGTACAGTTAAAACCAGACATGGCTCTACTGCAGGACAGATAGAATTTTACATGTGAACTGTACATGTACATTATCATGTAATTTTAACTTAAAATTCCATTTGAGAATCAATAGCACTGGCCTCCCTTTCAGCTACTCCTCTCCACTTCTGCTCTCACAGCAGCAGTATTGGCTCACGTTATTAGAAGCCTTAAGGGGAACAAGTCAGTAGAAAATCTCTGCTCTGTGCTAATACATTTCAACACCTGAGAGGCAAAAGAGCAGCAATTAAGCACAGCAAAATAAATAATTCAATAGTTAATTTGACCTGCCCGGTTGTGGAGTATTTCTTTATATCTTACCAGATTGTATTTTAGTTTACAAGAAGCGTCCCTAGAGAGTAATGCTGTGAAAGCCCATAAAACACTATAGAGTCGTGAAAGGCAAAGGGTCACTCATAAATGCGGCAACTATTATTTGAAGAAGAAATTTTTTTTGTTCTCAATGTCCTGCATATTTCATGACAAACTGATTAAGTCCTTCGCTGATTGTTTATGAATTCATCTGCCAACTGCTTAGGCAGGTAAAGCAGCCATAGATTGGAAGACTAAAATTGCACTGCAAGTACTTGAATTTTAGATGGAACACAAACCAAACAGAAAGCTAATGCTCTGTTCTGTGGTAAAGGAATTGGCTTCTTTTTAATTGCCTCACAAATAATCCATAGACAGCTTTGAGTGGGAGCAATCCATGTGGCCTCTGAGGACATGAATATACATTGAAAATGGGGGAAATATTAATGCAAGATGAGACTTAATAGGAGAATAGAACAGCAGTACTTTAGCAAGATACTGCCACATGACTACCACCTTTATAGGGTTATGGAGTAGGGGTAATGTTAACCTGGTGGGAAAAAATAAAGTCATCCAGATGGAAGGACTTCCAGTCCCTCCTAGTAAAAGATGAGATGGAAATTGAGATGACAGGCACTGCATGTGCACAGGTGGACAGAATTAAAACTAGGAGGAAAAAAGTAGAACAAGGTTTGAGATGGCCATCAGCAGGCCCAGAGGTGGAGGGGAACAGCAGCAGCAACGCCAGAAGGGAACACTGAGCCTCCGCATGCGGCTCTGAAACAAAGGGATCTGGGATGCTTCCGGGGCACATTTGCTATTCTTATTCATCCTCTGAGGCTACTCCAGAAGCCAAGTGGTCTCACAGCAGCAGCACAGGCTGTACTGAGACTTCAGCACACTTGCTGAAAGCAGAGTACACCAGGGAGGATGCAGTAAATGCAAATGCTTTTACCTCCGATACACACACACTGTTATTTACAGAGTCTAGGTTCCTGCCTCAACCCTTTCTGATATTAATGCAAAGCAGTAAGGTTAAAAAAAACCCCAAACAAACCTAAAAGCCACAATAAAACCTCTTCATCCTTACTGACACCACTGCCTAGCTTCGCTGGATAGAGCACATCAGTAAGATCTCTATGTCCTGTACAGAAGTGATAGCAACGTTCTCTGCAAGGGTCAGAAACCTTAGCTTGGGCAGGAGAAACACCCTGAGCACACTCCCCCCAGTCCCTGATCCTGGCCAATAGCTGATGTTACGCTACATGAACAGTTGCAATGATTTGAAATTTCTTTATTTCAAATGCTTTAAAAGTAAATAAATAAATTAAACCAGCTCTTTAGCTTCTAGAAAATTACTACAACTGCTATTATGGTCTTTCATAGTCCTGGGGGAAAAAAAAAAAGGGTGAACATAAAGCAGCTGCACTACAAGACTTACTTTATTGCATCTTCCATTTTATCAAGATATTCATGAAAATACAAAAATAAACATTCCACTCCTCTGCAATGAAGTTTCTCTCTGGTTGTAAGTACAGCTATTTTTAGTTTTAATTTGGGGATATCTCCCAGAACCGCAGAACATAATCAGCTGCACCATATCCCTGCATCATCAGCAGCAAAAACAAGTGTATCTTTGGAAAATACACATTTTACACACTGAAGGTCCCGGCAGCCTTTTTTTAGCTGACTGTCCATACCAGTTCCTCCAGTCCCGACTTCCAGTAACGCCAAACATCGGCCACTAAGTGGTGCTACAAAGATTTACTCCAACTGCAGATCTGGCCCATTAAGCCCAAAACTGCGCTTGCCACAGCCAATACTGCTCCCTTGAGAAACAAAGGGGATGAGGAAAAGCGTGCTCATTTCAAGCCCCATTAAAAATATAGGAAATAATTCAATGTTTCCCTCAAATGAAATACAAGGAAAATTTATGAGAAAATCAGATTGGTATTCAAGTTTCTGAGAAGAAATTGCAGAAAATGACAAAGAGAGATAAAAAAAGAGTACTTGAAGGCATGCATCTGCCACCAGTCCAGACCCTCATTAGTGGTGTCTCCCCGTTTGACTGTTTTGGAGGTTTTGGATTCATTGTGGTTTAAATTACTTCTCTCTCCACTGAGATGTAGTAGCACAGGCACAAGAGCTTTCCTATGGATCTTGCAGTCATTGCAGAAGATTGTTGTCAATGCTGCAATGATCAAGATGATCATTCAGAAGTAATTGCTAATGTGACAACAGCAGCCTACAGCCGTCTTATCCCTCAGCTTTCCTGTTGCTGAGCAAAACACTTTCACAGCCTCTAAGACAAAGGGCATGGTGTAACTGTACTGCTCTGCCTGTGGCAACAGCCAACAACTTACCAGCCAATGTTGAACTCAACGTGAGCATCAAAGAAGCCAACAACAGGAGATGTTGCTGCTTTCCAGCCTTGGATCCTGGCTCGAATCAGCCCTTCTCGTTTGTTATTGCGCACTATTTTCACCAGCCCTGGGTATCTTTTATTGACGTACTGGTCCAGGTTAAATTTTAGCTCAACTGCAAGACAAAAAAAACCCCAAACCAATATTCAGAATGAGAAAAGTCCGGAAACATTATGTTTTACTTTCATTTATTCTGCAACAGATAGAGATCCTAACTGTTCCTAAACCCTTAGACAGTCTCACAGATACAAAACAAGTACCACAGTTGGGGCATGGACTAGTTCCAGGGGGATCAGCTCAGAGAGACCTGCACAGGTTTTATCTCATGGATTTGAGTATTGTTTTGCAGAGGTAGTTTGTACAAATATTATTAAATAATCACTATCCTAATTCTCTGATTATTTGCATTAGAGTACAACCGGCCTCTGGAAGAGCAATTCTGACCTTACAGCAGTGTAACAGTCTGCAATTTTTTACAGTCTGGTGATTTGTTTTTCTGATTTATGCTATTCATTAAGAGTCTGAAAAATAACCTCAATGGATTTTGGGTCAAGACCTAATTCAGCTCACAATTAATTTCCCTTAATTTTAAAGGTTTTCCCTTAAATATAATTAAGACTCCTCAATACTAGGCTTCTTCCCCATTGAACTAAATGGATATTGAAGATTTCAAATAGACTTCTTCTCTGTTGTTCATTTTCAGGCATTCAACCACAGATGGAGCAGAACTCATTCATTCCTTTATTCAGCTTCATTTCAATAGGCTTATGAACAGGCAAATTACCAAAATGGTCTATTTTTTTAAATCAATCTAGTTTGGTAATTCATTTACACTGCAGCCTATTCATAATGAGGCTTTTACTCAAACGTATTTATTAGGAAAACTAGTAGAAGCTTCCAGGACATTAGAAGCCTCATTCTTCTGATCTATATTACGCAATAGAATCATTATCAGTGAAATCAAAGACCTGATAAATCTCCAGTTATCTAGAAGAATGACAGAGAAAAGCCATATAAGAGTTCAATGAGAAAGAGTGCGTCCAGTTATCCTCCGTATTACACGGACCCAAGCACTTTGCAATCTCACACCATTACTCCATAAGTTACACTGCTGTAACTGAAAGTAGAACTGGACAAAAAATTTCTTAAATCTATAGGTTTTGGAACTTATTTTTGGTTTTGCTTGGAACTTAGTGATATGTTCTCTCAACCCTCCTTTCTCTTTGGGGATCTTGAAGAGGAATGCAACTTAAAACTGAACGATTTAAAGCTCTTCATCTGTGGAGGAATTGCTAAGCTTGAGCCTTATTTTAATAAATATGATTTGAGAAGATGTAACAGCTGTAGAAGTATAAGGTACAACAAGTTAAAACACAACAATACGCTAGTCACCTGTATCCTAACAGTTCTTCAAACCTGCCTGTCCTATGAAACATGTTGATCAACAGCATCCTTATGCTCACCAATATTTTGATTTTTGAGTGCTGTGTTATTTTTACATTAATGAATGAGATGGCCTGAAATAGGCATGTACTTTGTGCCCAGTCTGCTTCATTCTCATAGTCTTAATTTACTCCCTACGTCCAAATTGAAGAATCTGTCGCTGCACTTTTCCTTGAAAGCAGAATTTAACCTTTTAGTCTATTAATGATGATATTCCTCTTGATCTGAAAATCTGGAGGAAAGTATCATTTCTAGATGAAGATTGCCCATGCAGATGCCATTCATCCTGTGAGGATTTCAATGAAATCAGCAGGGTTTATCCACATCGTGATTATTTGTTATACGAATGGTTAATATTTACTCACAACTTTGTGTAAGTGGCTCAATCAACCTTCTCATCAACAAACTTGTAAATTCTACTGACTTCAGTAAGAGGTATGTTAATTTACATCATCTTGTGATCTAGCTTGTTAGCCATAAATCAGTGTTGCATGTATGACCTTCCTCCCCAAGTTGTTTAAATGCAGAATGACTCAATGCTGTTTCATCCCAACATTGAAAAAGAAAAAGCATTTCAGGTAGTAGTAACAAAACACCATTTTGATGTCTATTAACCACACAGGATGCAGTACTTAGAGGAAAAGTTACTTGTGCTCACCATTATCACTGTTGTCATCTACCAGGATGATCTCCTTGAGCAAGTGTGACGGGGTGTGATTCACAACGCTGTGCACGGAGCGCAGGATGACAGACAGTGCCTCGTTTACAAATATAAAGACCACAGAGATCTGGGGCAGGTCATCTGGGTAGGTCATCTGTTTGCACCTGCAGAGAAGAAAGAACTAACACTCAAGCAACCACTGGGCGGTAAAATAGGCTGAAGAGTATCTTCTCCTCATTGCTGTGCAGTGTATAGGGACTTGCAGGCTTTGTTCTTTCTAACAGACGTTGTAAAGCTCAAAAGCAGCAACATAGCTAGAAGCAGCAGCCTCAGTGAAAACCAAAGTGTGTCTGGATGCACACAGACTTGCAGCAGTTGTCATTCTGTGGAAGGTTAAAAGAATCTCTTGGAAACCAAAGAAATACCAGTGAGATTGCTCAAAAACAACCTGGAGAAAGCCCAAAGCCCACACCACTATAGCCTATCTGTGCTCCCAGAAGCACCATCAGAAGGTCTGCTCTTAACTCATAATTAGAGCTCATGCTTTTAAAGCCAGGATCCACTCAAGCAACTTTTGCATTCACCCATACAAAGAGCACTTGCCACCTTTCTCATTTTACAATTTGTGCAGCAAGAACAAATGCAGGATGTCTGTTGTACAGACACACCCCTGCTCAAATGTTTGCAAAGCAGATCTGGTCCGTCTGAGATGTCACCTTGGGAGGTACCTACATCCTGAGAGTCACATTTTGCTTTTGCACGTATGCTCATTGGTGCATATGTGTTGCAAGACACTATGATGAGAAGAAAAATGGAGGCCTGGAGAAGTCACGCAGCACAGAGCAGAACCTCTGCTCCCAAGCCCCCAGCCCATTTCCCCTGTAACACCACACTGCCCTATTTAATGGAATTCTCTCCCACTAGCTAAGACGGTAACTTTAAAAACGTGTTCTCACAGTCAAAAGCCATCCAGAATTACCATAGCAATTACTGAACCTGCTCTCTGAAACACTGCTAATGATATCACAGGAAATGACTTTTCTTGCTCTTATCAAACTTTCTGACCTCTTTCTCATTACTTTGGCATAACAAGCCCTTTTTCCCCCACTATCAGCAGCCAGGGGCATGAGGAAGGTGACAAACACTTGACTGGTGGGTAACCTCTGGAAATCAGTTATGAATTCTAGCAATTATCCATAATTCCTATTCAGTCCAGCTCTGTTTGCTCAGAGACTTGAGTACCTGTCATACAGTGTTACCACAGTTACTTGCTGGTGGCCAGTACCATACAGAAGACCACTGTGTAGAATTTCTGGCTAAGCAGCACTCTTACACAGTCTAAAAATAAACCTGGAACAAGGACAGAGATTTACAGGAGGTGTGAATGCTCTGTCACAACCTCCTTTTTGAATTTCTTTTTGAGCGTGATTTTCCTCTTGACCACACCAGCACATCAAAGAAGTCCATCAGAAATATGTCACTAACAGGAAAGAGCCATCAGCTAGAAATATGGACCTTGCAAGATTTCCCTTGATGAGGGACATCTTTGATCTGACAGCAATTTGCTTCAGAGCCTCACTTGCATCAGCACGATGCAGTAAACTGCATCTCTGTGAATTGGACTGGTACCCAAGGAGTGGGTGCATTGATGGTGGAAGTGAGGCAGAGGAGGGAGTCCACCCCAGCTCATGCATCCTAGTGGGGTCTTGCATCAGCACTCAAGAGCTAGCACAGAAGAAAGGAAGCTAAGAAACCATGTAGCCGAAGTCTGGAAAGAGCAAGGCAGAGGAGGAGGAAGTATAGCAAGAATGAGAGTGCAGTCAAAGCAGCAGTTGCAATGTGGAGGGACAAGCAACCAAAGGAAACATGGGATGAGCACAAATGTCAGAAGCAGAGGCATTTGTAGAAGGACCAAAATATTTTGCCTAGGAAAAGACAGGGAACCAGTGAAACAGTACAGGACCTCAGTGGATTAGGTTGTGTTTCCTTTATCTTCTGATCACAAACTTCTGCTGAACTCTTCTGGAGTAAGAGGTATTTGTTTTATTGGCGAGTGAACTGAAAGACCTGGGCACTCAGCCACATGCTCCTGTCCTGACTGAAAGGTTGAGTAGAACTGATCTCCAGAGCTTCTCCTCCACTTAGGTTCTGATGAAATCGTTATTTCTAATTCAAATATTAAAACCAGCAGACCTAAACCATAACCTCCACTTTTGATTTACATCTTCTTTGTCACACCAAACTAATGCATTATTATCCTAAGTGTGGCTCCACATTCTCACTGGTTCACAAGACTTCTCAAGCTTTGGTTCTCAATGATTACTTACACTGTAGGGCATCACGGACTGCTTTAGATAAAATGCTGGTTTGAATTTGTTATCCCACCCAACGTAAGTAATTCCTATCACTTCTCACTGCAACCTCCCTTCCGTCAGTTCTCCCCTTTCCCTGTTAGCAGGACAGAGTTGAAAAATGGCATTCTGTCTGCATTTGGGAAGAGCACCCCAACCATTACCTATTAGAATATCTTGTGTAGCCCCTGTGCAACAGGAACATCTAGATGGGCAAAGGCCAACCTCAGAATTTAGCAGGGGTTTAAAAGCTGTCATATTTTTATTTATCACAGCAAGGATGAAGAACAGCAAAAGCAGCCGTCCGGATGAGTAGACATTTCAAAGTACAGCAGTGATTTAGGAGTTTATTTCCTGCAGACTTCCAGTCAACCTTGAACTCCCAGCTCCTCAAGTCACTTCAGGAAATGAGATGGATGCGCTGAAGTAGTCAGGAGAAAGTACTGGTCCACTATCAAACACTTCTGATGATGTCTGAGAGCACGAGCAATCCCAGACCTTTCCTTAAAAGTCACTGGGTGCTTAAGTGCTTTGTTGGATTGCTGCCCAAGTACTTCCCAATGTATTCTGTAATTAGATACCAGCTGCAGCAATTTACAGTTAATACTTCCTTCACTCCAAGAAACTCTAACCAGCTATTGATACTCTGAGGAAAATAGTGACATTAGCAAGTCACACGCAAGCACTCACCATCACAGCACAACCACCTTTGCTTGGGCAGATGCTGACAACAGACCAAGTGAACTGCAGTGGGACATTCATTCCCTTGTGCCTGTATGTAAGGCTGAGAAAGTCAAGTGTCAGGAGGACACAGGAAGTCCTCCATGGTACAGCCCTTGATCTTGGCCCTGACGCATGGCAGCAGGAGAAAGTTCATTCCAGAGAAGCTCCAGGAGAAAAGTAAGGCTAGAATAAACCTCCTGGCTTTCAATAAGGCATAGAGCATTCTCTCAGAAAACAGTTGGAGCAGCAGCCTGAAGACAGAGGGAAAGCATCAGGCAGGAATCCAGCAAACTAATGATAGAGGAGCTTGACACAAGACTAGTCACTTCTTTTGAGAAGCAAAGCAACCAGAAGGTGAAGACATCAAACCGTACAAATATACGCCCAGGTGTTTAAGGCAGTCCTGCCTGGGGAGCCCACAGCACCAACACTACACCCAGCACCCTGCCAGGGAAGGGAGCTGGGTACCACTATGCTCACCACTTCTCTGCACTAGGTCTGATCACATTATGAACTGTAGAAACCCAGAGGGAGTTCAATTACATTAACTGATAGCTGAAACTTGGCCTCATTAACACCTGCCTAACAATTCTGAGTTCAGAAAGAATTTAGAGCATTCATTTGACCTCTGTGGTAGCTAACGATGGCCTAAGCTGGCCAGGCATAGCTCACATTACTATGATTCTAAATTAGTATTATGAACTGTCACCAGGTCTCACAGTGTATAACCAGTGAAAAACTTGAGGACTGCATGAGAAGCAGTGTCTCTTTCCAGGCAGATTGGTCTGCTGCAGAGAAACACACCGCTGGATGCATTCAGGACTAGTGATTCCAGCAAAAGCTGATGATGCCATAGCTAATAATTTCCAAGGACCAGCCAAGGATGGATGAGACCTGATATGTGAAACAGCCCTTCAGGCACCTTTCGTGCAACATGCCAAGCATCAAACCTGGGGCATCCTGCTGTTGTCTTGGGAAGAGTCTTTGAGCACTCTTGCTCTGTATTTGCTACTGCAGATCTTGGCTGGCAACCCAGAGGTATTTCCTTTGTACATGAGTGAGACCTTGATGTCAGATCATTTTTCTCTATCCTGGAGATGATTTTCACTCTTTTTTGCCTTTGCACTGAACCAGTTCCTTAAATGAACATCTCCCAACCAGCCCCCCTGAGCCCAACTGTGAGCACTGTCTATGCAGGCATAAGAAAACAGGAGAGGCTCTTCAGCTGCCAGACCAGAATCTTGGGAAAAGAATCATGTATTAACACAAAAAAAGGGTCACAGATTAGAAAATGGGACACTGAGAAAACAAAAGCTTCTCAGCTGCTTGTGAGCCTGCTCATGGCAGCCCTGTGAGCTGGTAGGCAATAAAGGGAAGGGATTTTTCTTTGTCTGAACCTTCATTCCTTGATAGTATTTACTCTATTTGTACCTGATCCAACAAAAACCTGGAAGTCCTCTATTTATCAGAGCTAGGCTTATAGTCCATTTGAATTGCATTGGTTTTTGTGAATGACTGACACTACAGCCATGCAGGTAGCTCAGTGCATTACCAGGGAAAGAAAAACCTTTTCTGCTCTCTTTCTCCTGCCTTCTCTCCTGTCTGCATAGCTGTTAAGCTCCCCAAATGAGTTTTGCTTGCAGACCTTAATATACCGAATTTGGAAATGGATTAGGAAATGCATTTAGAGATTTCTGACAGCTTTCCCCTTCAGGAAAAAAAAATGCAAACAAAATTAAAGCTGCTTCATGAATCTTTAAAGCATTTAATACAAGATACTTTTAATTTCCAAATCAAGGTTTTTCCAATGAACCACGGGGGATGGAGATGACTGTGGGTTCCTCTCCTTCACAAACCTGATGAAACCTCCTCTGCAGCTTTAGCACAAAACCCCCCAACATGCTTCATACCTTGAAAGCTGCAGAATGGCCTGTGATTGTATTTTATAGCCACAGCAGGGGAAAGAGGTGAAACAGCACTTCCTTGGGTGCATGATCAATGAAAGGACAAAGACAAACACTAAAAAGATTATTGAATCCTTGCTCATTAATGTTAACAAATAGTACTTTTAATCACCAGGCCGATGTGTA